TCGGATCTCAGTGGCAGAACTGTGTTATACAGAAGACTCTCGCCCAATCTCCACCCTGAGCTCCTATGTCTTAACTACAAGGGGAATCTGGAAAGTGCAGCTGGTCACTGGGGAGGGTGGGAGGAGAGGGCATTCCTCCCAGCAACACATAAGAAAAGCAGTCACTTCTGTGAAAGAGCACATTTTGCTGCTTCCTTTCAGTGAATCATTTTAACAGTAGAAAGGTCTTATGGTAGAAATTTACTTTTGTAATTTGTGAATAGGGAAAATTTTTACCCATTCTTTTATTTATTCTTTGAGTCCTATTATGAAGAGCACTGTGGTAGCTGTTGATGTATTAAGACGTAGTCCCTGTTTTCAAGGAGGGAAAGAGAAGGGAAGTTTACATTTTATGATCACCAACAGTGTTCATATTATCTTTCACGAGTGTTTCATGTAATATTTACTGTATTTCTATGACACATGTATTATTACTTCTAAGTTTTTAAAACTAAAAATATTCAGAGATTACCTGCTTAAGGTCACCCAGCTAATAACAGAAACTTATCTGGGAGGAATTCTCATCTGTTAATGTGACTTCAGAGTCCTGCGTTTCCACTGCAGCCTCTTCTCTATATTCACCATGTGCTGCTGGACAACTTTTATTTTTTTTCTTTTTTGATGCTGTGTATTCAATCCAAAGCCTCGTGTACAGAAAGCTCTCTATTTGGGCAACCTTTCTTAGAGAGATGGCTGAATGTAGGTACTTATAGATTACACATCTTACTAAACCAAAATGTTTATACCCGTCTTTTCCTATGACCTGTTCTCCATATGGAGGCTAAGTGAGCCCCTGCTTAAAAACTCTGTAGTGATTTTCCATTGCATTTAGAATATAGTCCTAGCTTTTCATTGTGGTCTGTGTCCAACCATTCAGGAGCCAGATCATTCCAGCTCATGTTAAGTTTTCAGGAATTTTGTGAAACAGTTGTTAAACACAGCTATTGTTAAAAAATCAGAGTGCTTTCCTAGCATGCATGAGTCACTGGGTTCGATTCTCATCACCACATATAGATAAGTAAATAAAGTAAATGTTCATCAACAATTAATAAAAATTTTAAAAATCGAGTGGTATAATGTTACAAACTCATATTAAAAACAAAAAGTGTTGAATACTCCAATCTCATTGCTTCCTAATTATTTTACAATTCTTTACTGTTACCTATGTGCCCTTGAGACATGTCTCAAGGGCACATAGGAAACAGTAAAGAGTTGTAAAATAGTGTCTGATGGCACACTGCTGCATTGCGGCTGTATGTCACCTCCAACTCCAGCCCAGGTGTTTTTGAGTATTCTGTGAGTTATGAACAATAGTCAAACAAGGCTAAAGCTACAGCAGGACCCCTGTTGCACAACTTGTCATTGCAATTATTAGTATTCTATTTATTTGCATTGGCAAAGCCAATAATTTATTACTGTCAATAATTTTTTCAGTAACCACCAATAAGTGAATATTGTTTAATATTTCTAAAATGTTTTCATATTACACACATCTTAGGTTACATACTATCACAAATTGAGGCTCAGTGGTCAATCTCTGATACTACCATACCACAGCACTGTGGTAAAACATGCATTCATATCTTCAAAAGGAAAATGCACACTATGTGAATTTCCTTTTTTCTTTGCAGCATAAATGTCAACCAGAATCTGATGTTGAGCCATATTTTGTACATTTTAAGATGCTTGTTTTCATTTTTAAATTATTTTGTACTTTTGCTCAATTTTGTATGCTTACCCTGATGCCGCTGCTGCTGCTAATGAATATATTTATCAGAGGAGAGATACCACAGGAAGCTGAAGTAGACATGCTAAACAGATCCCATTAATCTTTAAACTAGAAAGGAAAAGTTGCATTTCTACTTTCCAAAGGATTCTACCCATTTCCCATTAATTTCTCATTTTGGTAGCAATTTTTTTTTTATCTTCACAGTGGTTAATTTTAGTCCATTTTATGAGATAATATCTTTCTATAATTGCCTAGTATATTTGACTTTAGTCTTCAAAGAGTCTAAGGTGTTTCTACCTTAGCTGGACTGGTATTTTATAGTTTTAGTCTAGAATTTTCATGTGGCACTTTGTTCCAAAATTTAGAACTTGACCATAATGCTGAGATTAGACATAAATTGTAGTAACTTCCAGGACTTTTATCTCTCCCACATATATGCAAGAAAATATGGGGTATGTGTGTGTGTGTGTGTGTGTGTGTATACATACATACATATGATTATTACTCAGTTTTAAAGAAGAATGAAATTATGGCATTTGCTTTGTCAGTAAATAGATGGAACTAGATACTTTCATGCTAAGCAAAATAAGCCAGTCCCAAAAAACTAAAGGCCAAACATTCTCTCTGATATGTGGATGCTAACACACAATAAGGAGGGGGGGGGAAGATTAGAAGTTCATTGGATTAGACAAAGGGGAATGAAGGGGAAGGATGGGGATTGGGAATAGGAAAGACAGTAGAGGAAATCAGACATAACTTTCCTGTGATCACATATGAATATACAACCAGTGTGACTCCTCATCATGGACAACCACAAGAAGGGGATCCTAATTAGGATAAGTTACACTCTGTGTGTGTATAATATGTCAAAACACACTCTACTGTCATTATTGTCTGAAAAGAACAAATTTAAAATATGAAAAAATAGACAATGGGCTGGGATTGTCAATACTCACAGTTTTTCTTTTTTTAGGTATCAAGTCAAACTTTTAAATGGTTTTATTTTTGAAGGACATTCATTGAATGTTTTCCATTTGAGGAAAGGGGAGGTAGAAGAGAGAGGATATGAAGTTTAAGCTCCTTTTCTGAAAGCAGGCAGAATTTGTGTCCATTTGTCATCTCCCTGTGATTATTCTGAGTAATTTACCTGATGTGGCCCATACTGGCCATTCCTCTGCTGGTACTCTGACTGTGCTGATGTCTTCCACACACCCCTGCTCCTCTCCTGACCTGACCAGGCAGAGCAGCCTGCTCATTCATCTGGGAAGAGACCCAGTACCATCCCCTCTGGGCTTCCAGAGCCTTGCACTGTGCTTGCAGACCATCTCTTCAGTGGCTCCATAGGAAAACAAAAGGGGAGTGAAACCTTTTATTTGTTTGATAGTTACCACATTGGAGGAAACAAACCATATCCCCTTTAGGTGATAAAGATAATCTGGTAATATTTACTTAATTGTCAAAGAGAGACTTAGAGTGAGTTTCTCTAGGGCTGGCTATCATTCTCTTACATGCAGCTTTTTATAGCCATTGAAATAGACATCTCAGAGGAAGATGTAGAAGCTTATTAGAATTTGGTGATAAGAGAATTATCATAGAGGTGCAAGTCGATGTCGCTTGAGACACAAATGACAGAATTGCTGAAGAAACAAAGAATACAGTATCCTTATATTCTAAATAAATAGAAGCTGAAAATGCTTCCTGACTTGAACAGCTAAGGTTAGAGACCAAAATTTTTGAAAAGGCCTCCAATAACTTGTAGACCAAAATAAATAAGCAAATATTTAGAGAATTGAAATGATAATATTGAAGTATATTTAATTGTAGAAAATTTTATTTCATTAAAGCACTTCATGATTTGTAAGTAGCAAGTAGAAGTAACTGTTTTGTATAGGAACTTAATAATAATTGCATTTCTAAGTAGATAAAGGAACTCTGTTCAGTTATTTAGGCATGATGTTAATCTAATCTACCAGTGAAAGAGATACAAAATATCATAACCTGTCAATTCCATTTTTTCAGGGTGACATTTAAAGTAGATGTTTACATATAGTTGATCCTAGGACATTGGGTAAATTAAACAGCTTTTCCTGTCTGCTTGGTGTAATTTCTAGAATATATAAGTCCCTTTCCATATTCTTTCAGCTTATTGAGAGATTTGTTCCTGTAACTTAAGACTTTTATTCTTTGTTCAGATTTAAAAAATTGAGAGGGCTAGTAATGTTTTATTGGTCATTGAAATCTCAATGATAGAAACTCATAAGATCTATCCTAAAAACTGATTCTTACAAAGAAAAATAGCAACAGAAGACGCTATAAGGACACTATCACACTATCCATCAAAATTTAAAATGCAGTCATGGTTTGACTGTTGAATCCCTCTTTGTGGAATAATCCTTGCCCTACCCCATCCCTCCATGTGTACAAATAATATATATACAAGGTTGTTTATTGCACTATTGGTGATAAAAATCAAATGAGGAACATCTCAAGCATTCATACAGGAAAGTGATTAACTCTGGCGTAGCCTCATAATTAAATACTACATAGCCATTTTTTAAAAATAAAGAGGCAGCTCTTTACATCCTGAGAAGGAAATGTTTCCAACTTATATTGTTAAGGGGGAAAAAGCAAGATGTATAACAACATATACAGAATGCTCTCTTTTTTATAGGAAAGGGGAAAAATAAAAAAAAACATACTTTTTTCATAAAACATTGGCAGGGTACTAGAGAAATTTTTAAGAGTAGTCATGAAGTTACGCAAAAGAAACAAGGGGGCAGATATGGAGGACTAGTATGTCACGGTAGTGTTTGGATTTTTCATTGTGACTGTATTATCTTTTTTAAAAAAAGATAACAATGACAGCATGATTAAAATTAAAAAAGGAGGGACTGGGGTTGTGGCTCAGTGGTAGAGTGCTTGCCTAGCATGTGGGAGGCACTGGGTTCTATCTCCAGCATCACATAAAATTAAACAAATCATGTCCATCTATAATTAAAAATATTTTAATTTTTTTTTAATTAACAAAGGAGACAGTTTATCTCAAGTGAAGAGGCTGGCAGCTTTAAACACAAAATTTGCCTTGTCACTCTGTAGAAGGCTGGCTGTGAAGGGCTTCATTCACTGTAGAACTTCAGTCATTCATGCAGAGGACTAACAGCATGAAGGAATTTTTTTGACATTCTGACAAATGGTACTCATTCACATTTTACCTGTATATATTTTCCTGTAGATGCCAGAGGAACAAGCTTTCTGTGTTTTGGTGAAAATCATGTATGACTATAATTTGCGAGACCTCTACAAAAACAACTTTGAAGATCTTCATTGCAAATTCTATCAGTTGGAAAGACTAATGCAGGTAAATAAAAATTAGGAACCTTTATCATTCAGATTTGTTATCAAAAAAGCCTAACGGTGTTGATGAGCAATGATCAGTTCTAAGAGTTTAGTGAAAACACTACTGAAAATGTAAATAGATTTGGTTTCTGACCAATATTTACATTGATCTTAATATCACAATGTATGTATTTAGCTACTTGACTATTTATAGTTTCATGTTTTAAATATTCAATTTTAATACACTTTGAAGTGAGACTATAGTGAGTTAATCCAGTAAGAAGAATGATGAATATTATTTGTAGAGAAATGAATATATTTGCCAAATAAAAAATTCTCCATACTAATTAGTACTACTACCATATTTGGATCTACAGAGGACACTTGGAAAAGACAGAAAGAAGTTTAATTTTCTTCCATATAATTTTTGTATCCCAAACATTGTTGTTGATGTGCCTCATAATATTTTTTATAAATGTATTTGTGTGAGAAACATTCTTTTATGTATATTAGATATTATAGAACAAAATGGTAAGCAGGGCAAAATTACTGATTAGAGTTGATAAATAGAGTTATTAGGTAGTTTTGAAATTCTGCTCGCAATTGGAAATCTTAAATTTTTAATGGATCTATTCAGCATATTTGTATGACTTTCTAAAGGAGGTGTTGGGAGCCCAGAAAAATGTGAAGGAATAAATGAATGGATTGATGCGTATGTGAGATAGTTGAGGAAGAAGAGTAGTAGTGGAATGTGAGAATAGAAGATGCTGGTAGATGTTCATTGTCATGACCTATCAGGAAATCCCCTGGTGTCTAAAAAGGACGATGAAGCCAGCTGGAGACTGAAAGTCTGGAAGATCAGGGGAGTAAGAGACTGAGAGTTTACAGGGAAGTAGGGAGCAACTTTATTGGGAAGAGTCAAAGACCTTACATATGAAGAAGAAATGGAGAGAAAACCTATCAAATGAGCCATAAGACCAATGGTGGATGAGTGTGGAGGGGGAACGATTCTGGTATCTAGTAACAATGGGCATTATAAAGAAATAAGTTCTTTTTTAAAGATTCAATTTTACTAAGTAAATATTGGGAGTTACTTACTATTTACCTTTGTTTCACAGAAGTTTCTATTTTTCAAAGGTTAGTATTACTGAGGGCTTTGAAAATAACATGAATATATATATAGTACTTGAAGAGCAAGTTTGTGATAGTATGAAGAAACTCAGCCTCTTTTATCTATTAGCACTTTTTACTTGTTAACTCTTGATGACCAATTGGAACCTTGGCATATTTGTTTTTCAGAGAGCATGTTATATAAAAATGCTTTATTTTGTTGTTGTGATCTCTTTATGAAAACAAAATGAACATGAATTTGTACATCCTTGCCTGTATTTTGGTTATTAAAATAGCTGATACTTTGTACTTGGTGTTTCATGATTTTGAAAAGCATTTGCTTGTTTAACTTGGGAAGAAATTAAAGCTAGCATAAAGGCATGTTTGGGAGATATTCAGCTTTATGTGTTACACTTTGCACAATTTCACTTTGCCATTTTTGATATTAAATATAAGTTTTTACTATGTGGTTATGCTTTTGAACTTCCCAAGTGCTCAAAAATACATAGAAATGACATTATAGACCCTAGATGATGTTGATATTAGATGGTATCCAAAGAGACGTGTTTCTTTTCTGACCAGCTAAGAGGTGCACCTTGAATGGGATGTTGTGATGTGACCCTGTGTTAAGATATTCTTAAGACTGTAGGTGTTTTGTCAGACCCAGCATTTCCCAAAAAATAAGAACACTCAACTGAGCAAGAGATGATCAGCTTTTTGTTTATAACAAGTCAATTATCTGTCATATGATCAATTCTGTTATCACTTCTATGTAGTTCCTTAAAATGCAACCAATGCTGGAATACAGTGAAATTGACCACAGAAATCTTGCTATAAACTGCACATGTGTCAGGAAGTAAAGCTTCTTCAGTGTTTCGCCTCCTAAGTTTTTCATTTTGACTTTTAGGAACAGCTCCCAGACCTGCACAGCCATTTTTGTGATCTGAACCTGGAGGCTCATATGTATGCATCCCAGTGGTTCCTCACTCTCTTTACTGCCAAGTTTCCGCTCTGTATGGTGTTCCACATCATTGACCTGCTGCTCTGTGAGGTAGGCTGAGCCCAGCTTTCATTCCCAAGCCAAAATAGAAACCTGTTTCTATTTAAAATGGTTACAGTATGATATAAATCCATATCCGATGACAAAAAAAAGCTCTATTGAAATATTTAGTAAAGATTTTTCTGTAATTTTATCATTTGTGCAGTATAAAAATAGTAAGGCATATACAGTTCCACAAAGGAAGGTGAGGTGGTTAAATTTTATATCATTAAATACATAATAAACCTATATCTGTGTAATAGTGTATTATCAACGTAACAGACTTTTAAAGTTAAATGAATTTTAAATCAGGTGTTTTAATATCAATGCAATTCTAATAGTAAATATAAGTGATATTTTTGCAGTAATTAATTCCTCTATTCATAAGATATATCTGTGTATGTGTTTGAGGCTCCTGCCAGATGATGAGAAAAGTTTTAGGTCATATAACTATGTCTTTATTTTTTGAAGTGTCGGGGATTAAACCCAGGGCCTTGTGCTTGTTAAGCACTTGTTCTATCACTAAGCTGTACCCTCGGCCCAGTTATACTTTTAAGCAGTAGAATAGTTCAGAACACAGTTTGCAAAATTACTTAGGTATTTGTTCGTTTATTTTATTATTTTTAGTTCCTTAGGTGGATATGATTATTTATTTATTTATTTATTTATTTTTTGTGGATGGTGCTGAGGTACTCTCTCCACCACTGAGCCCTCCAGCCCCACTTTACTCTTAAGAAATAAGTATTACACATTTTATATTTACCATCAAATGTTTGACAATTAGTATTATAGGCAAGTTACTGAGTGAGAAGTATGTGTTTCGTTTTTTATTTTTTTTATTTTTTAAAAAATCGAACTTTCAAACCAATGTTAGCTATTTACCTTCACAGAAACTTTTGGCCAATGTACACATGGACATAGATTTCATTCAGTCTAAAATATTTATATTAAGCTACTTATGTTCACAACTCAAAAGAATCACCCATTTTGTGTAGCTACATTTTTAAAATTCAGAAGTTCAATCAACATGTATAGTGTGTAATACATAAGCACTTCATTGTCTAGAAATCATGTAAACTAAATAATTACTCTTCATTTTATAATTAAATGAACCTGCCTGGTAAGAATATTACTAGTCAAATTCAAATCAAGTCCTCTACCTTTATTTATATATATATATATATATATATATATATATATGCGCGCGAGCACTCCACCTCTGAGCCACACACAACCCCAGCCCAGTCTTCAAGGTCTTTGTTTAGCACTTGTGTAGTACCTGCAAGTTGTTGAGCACGTTGTAAGCATGTAAGATTTTGACTCATTTGTAGCATCTTTGATAAACAAGAGAGCCCTGATGGGCTCTCAGAAGAGGTTCTTGAATCATAAATATGTAACAGCTAGGGAAGCTGATTGGTAACACATTAATTTCCCTATTCATTTTACTTACAAATTAGTATGTAAAATGCCATTCTAAATTTAACCTAAAGGAAGAATGCAGAATTGAAGCTAAAACCTATTCAGAGTCAACATGGTATCATCACAATTTACATGAAGCAAATTTAAGCATTTGTACTAAAAATGCTATTTGGCCTGTTTGTCCCAATTGGTGTGGTGATTAGTTCTGACTCACAAACTTTAGGGCAATATGCTTTAAAGGCAAAAACCATGTTTTTGGGTATTGTGAAAACTAATACTAAAAATTAGTCTTGATAAATAAGTCCTCGTGGACATTATTATATTGAGTTAAGGTTAGTATTCATGATGTTTTGTAAAAACAAGAAATTAGGAAGTATGGCATTGTAATAGTTTCTGCATTCTATATAGTATGAGCTTGCAAATATTTGTTATCATTGATTCATTTTTTTTCTGAGTTTATCTAATTTCATACTAGATTAGTTCTATGGTATTCATTATAGAAAAGGAAATGAAATTAATGTTCTTAATCATTCAGCTAAATTGGATTTTCCAATCACTTTTTGGTAGAGTGGTAATGCTGTGGTCTAGTTCACTGGAATGGTGACTTACTAAAGTTGTCTCTGCCTGGCACCTGTTCATGGTTCTTCTAGAACCTAGATTCAGAATTGCTCAGGGAATTTCATCTTGAAGGTACTTAAATTTCTAATTTCAGTTGCTAAGAAAATTAACAGAAAAGCAAACTAAATTCATAAGCCTTCCCATCACTTGTCAACTGTGATTCACAATCACAGTGGGAGAAGGATTTTAATGTTCATTAAAATTAATAAAAGCATCATAACTATTATTTTCCTTCCCCTTTAACCTGTTCTCTTAAGGAAGTTGCATAGCTTTCCAAAACATGGGGGTGGGTTTGTAATAACACCATCGTAATATCCAGGGAAATAACTGAGTGAAGTCAGTTTTCAAAATAAACTTTATTGGGAACAATGTTTTAGTATGCTCCAGGATGTTCGTTCTTTCCACTAACTTGTCTTTGTCAAGGGTTATTTTGCAAAGGAAATTTTGAATAAACTTTTACTTCCTGCCTGTGTTTTTTCTTTGCCCCTTTCCTTCTTTTAGTTAATAAAATATTTATATCACAAGCTATTCTTTCATATGTGATAGAATATTCTAAGAAATGGTAACATAGTCATAAATAGATTGTCCTTTAGATGTTTGTTTTGTCATATTTTCTCTCTTTAAGAAAACAACCAAATTTTGATGGTTTAAATCAATATTTAGTTGCAAATGGAAGGTTTTGAAATTCTCAAATGGAAAGGTGTTGATTTTTCAAAGTTTATCATTTTGACAAAAATTATTGTTCTGCAAAGCCTTTTACCCAAGGATTCTACTTAAAGTAAAAAGGAAAGACCTTGCCTTGGAGAATTCATTTCCAGAAGGTCTATTGTCATTGCGTGCTTTCCTACCTGCCTTATGTCCTTTTAAAGAGTTCTGTCATCCCCAGATTGAAAATATGAAGCTAATTTAGCAAGAAGGGAATAATTTTATAGATACTGACAATGCAGTCTCACTGAAAAAACCAAACAAACAAACAAATAAACAAAAAAAAAAAACAACAGCAACAACAACAAAAAAAAACCCTCCTAGTTATTAATAGCTTTACCTAAAATGTTTACTTAAACTGGAATATATTGCAACTAGGGCTAATTCCTAAGTTTGGTGGAAGAAGGATCACAAAAGAATTTGAAACTAGAGTTCAAAAATACATTCTCTTATATTAAGATGAATAGAACTCTCTGTAGATTGTCTTTTAGCCAGTAATTGAAATGAAAATCATTTTTTAAAAGTCTGTTTTATTGTCTGCCTATATTTGGAGAGATAAGAAAAAAGCTAAATGTGTTAACATTTAAAGTGTAAATGTTGTGATGTTAAACTATCAAGAATAAAAACACTGAACTTTTAAAAATAATTTATTGAAGTATAACAGAATAAAAATATATATATAAATAGTATAAAACTTGAGAGTTTTTCACAAAAATGTACATATTAAGGTAACCAGCAGTACCCACATCAAAAAAGTAGGAAGTCATCTCATGTCAGAAGCCCGCCTTCACTACCCCTTTTTAGTAACTACCTCTCTGAAGAAAGATCACTATTCTGACTATTAACACCATAGATCAGTTTTGCTTGTTGTTAAACTTTATGTACATGCAGTTTTGGAATATGTATGTTTTTCTGTTTTATTCCTCATGTTTGTGAGATTTATCCTTATTGTTGCATCTTCCCTTGGTTTATTTGTTCCATTGTGTGACTATTCTACAGTTTATCCATTCTTCCATTCTCTTGTTGACAGACATTTGAATCATTTACAGCTTAAGGCTGCTACCAACATTCTTGATCTTACTTTTGGTGAACATAGATGTGTATTTTTGTGGGTACCTGAGAGTGGAATTGCTGGATTGGGATGTGCACATGTTCAGCTTGAGGAGATAGAGCAAACAACTCTACAAAATAACAAGACTATTTCTTTTTAAAAAAAGTTTTTTTTTTTTTCCTAATGCAGTAAAGGTCTTTTTTTCTTGTGGTCAAAGACAGGCTTTGTTTTGTTTTTAGAAGTAGATACTAGGTCAGATTATAGTTCATGAATATACAACAGAATGAAACTCATTTGGTGATAAAAAGTGATTCACTTGATGTCTGAAGCTGCATACAGAAGAGCTGGCCAAGAGCTGGATTGCTTTGTGTTTACCCCGATGGGGAAAATCTATCACAGTGTTCAGTTTTAGAAGAAGCAGTATGGAAACAGGTATAACAAGGGAATTAAGATATTGGCCTTTTTAAGTCAAGTCTTCTTGGATCATCATTTTGAAGTTACTTGTTGTATATGTAAGTTTCAGTGTCTTTATTTGTAAAATGAACTAGCAATACCTATCTTTCATGTTTTGTGTAAGAACTGAGACTGTGATATAAAATGCTTAGCACTATGCCTAAATATCAATTAATAAGAATATCTTTCTGAATGATGTTAATCTGTATAGCCCTTCTAGTTACTTCTCACTTTTTTTCTGACTGGCTTTCTATTCACCTTTTCCCCTCTAGTTGAGATACTTCTTTGTTGAAAGCAAAATTTTAGCCAGTGACCTTAATGGAAGTTTTATTCTTTCTCAGCAGTGATTCAAATAATTCTCTAAAAAAAAATTTTTCCCCCTTCCCCTTCACCTTCTCACAAAACACATGAGGAAAACTCCAGTATTTCTCTGAGTCTTGACAGGATAACTGACAGCTGGTGTTTGAAGTTGACTCTTCCTAGATAGTTCAATTTTTAGACTACCAAATATATTCAGCTTTATATAGTAACTTGGCATTTCATGAAATTGACCCTTTAAATTATAGTGTATCTCCCTGCATTTCCTTTTTTAGGATGATGGGGGAAAAAAGACATTTCTACATTATTTGATTAAATACCACCAGGTATATTTCCCCTTTCAAGGCAGTTTTCTGAACTTATCTGAAGAGTTGATTCATTATATAATATTCTCCCTTTATACCACCAATTTTCCCTAAAACTTCATCAGAATGAGCTGATATAAGGA